GAAAGCTGATCTATAAGTCGATTCGTCGGATCGGGACACAGAGACAAATCGCGTGCTACAAAGTTTCCCCATCGGGGGGTGGGGTCGGGATTTCTGTGCCCCCTCCCCCCGAATCTTGCGGTCGGATCGGCGCGGTGGGAGGAAATAGTTTTTCCTGCAGAAAACAAACAAAATTCCAGGAATTCCCAAATATTTTTCCCGTCCAGTAGAAATCTGCGAAGGCGAATCGTGGCGTCGGGGCGCTCTCAGGGGGCGGGGCTCCGCCTGAGGGCCGTCAGGAAGGTTTATGGCGGACACTTAAACGTTTTATAGAAGCTGCCGGAAGATTTATTGATCTGCAATCGTGTTTATGATACAGAATGGCGGAGGGGGGAGGGGAGGGACTACGTGCGGATTAGGACCAGCTGCCTGCGTGCTGACCGCCGGCACCAACGGTGACCCCCTAACCACCAATCAGAAGCGCCCTTCACCTCTCTGCATAGACTGGCCCCCGCTTTCTGCAACATCCAGGTTTTCATGCCATCACCCACCCTGAGGGCCGCTTCTCTGCTGGAGGGACATAGGCAGCTTGAGTCAAGGACTACAGAGAACATTTAGGGGCCCCTTTACATTTGTGCGGTGGGTTCCCGCGCTGCTGCGTTGGGGGGTCTCCCATGGAAACGAGTTGCCTGGCAACGTCCCCGCTGCAGCAGAAGTGTTTTTCGTCCCTCGTCTCTTCCCCACATCTGACCTTTCACCCCCCCGGCCGGCCGTGTTATCACCCCATAGAGGAGATTTTTTTTTTAGGTTTACTGCCCCTTTAAACCGAACCGGTTCCACGTGAACTGCAGGACATCCTGGGGCGGGAGGGGGGGAGCCGACGCGTTTCACAGCCGTGCCCAGACTGCACTTGGCATGGGCAGGACGGGTGTGTGTGTGCCGGCGGCCATAGACGGGCGGGGGAGAGGTTGCGGGTAGGGGCGCTCGGGGCAGTGATCACTATCACTCAGATGTCCCAACCCATAAGTGGGAGTGTTGCCAGTGGATATCGCATCTCCCATCTGTACGGCTCGGGGTACATGGACAGACTGAAGGGAGAATGGTTTTAGGCATGCCAAAGTGGCCTCTCAGCCAGTATTACATGTATCAGATCAGCATGCCGTACAGTACATACAAACCTTACGGATAATGTGGGCATGCCATAGTGGCCTCTCAACCAGTATTACAGAACATGCAAACCTTACGGATAATGTGGGCATGCTAAAGAGGCCTCTCAACCAGAATTACCATATGTCATATCCACATGCCTTACAGTAGATGTGAACCTTAGGGAGAATGGTTTAGGCATGCCAAAGTGGATGCTTAGCCAGTAATACCGTATGTCATATCAGCATGCCGTACAGTACATACAAACCTTATCCATTTAGAGTTTGAATCTCCTGTAAGGCATGCTGATATAAAATACGGTATTACTGGCTGAGAGGCCACTTTAGCATGCCTTTAAACCTTATCCATTTAGGTTTGTAAGGCATGCTAAAGTGGCCTCTCAGCCAGTAATACCGTATGTCATATCAGTATGAGTTACAGTAGATGTGAACCCTAAATTGATAATGTTTTAGGCATGCTAAAGTGGTCTCTAAGCCAGTATTACATATATCAGATCAGCATGCCTTACAGTACATGCAAACCTTAAGGAGAATGTTTTGGGCATGCTAAAGTTGCCTCTCAACCAGTAAAACCATATGTCATATCAGCATGCCGTACAGTACATACAAACCTTATGGATAATGTTACAGTATGTAGGGATAATATTTAGGCATGCTAAAGTGGCCTCTCAACCTGTATTACTATATGTCATATCAGCATGCCTTACAGTACATACATACCTTAAGAATAATGTTAAAGGCATGCCAAAGTGGCCTTTCAGCCAATGTTACCATGTATCAGATCAGCTTGCCTTAAAGAAGACCTGAACCCTAAATGGATAATGTTTAAGGCATGCTAAAGTGGCCTGCTGACCAGTATTACCGTATGTCATCCTAAGTAAATGTAAATCCTGAATGGATAATGCCACTTCCTGCCTGCATGGCATTTCCCAGGGCAGGTTTCCTGATGGTGACAACAGTGGACCGTGCCCGTGTAATATGCATTGAATGGCCCACTTGTAGTCACCATTGGAAGCCCCTGTGACCAGGTGACAACACAAGATTGCAATTGGGAGACAGGGGCAGAGCGTTGTCACCCTACAACAGGAAGTACCTGCCTTCATCGCAGGATCACCGCGGATCACTAATGCAAGCCGCAGATTTATGAAATGACATGAACGTGTGAAAGCTCCTATGAGATTTCAGTGATCGGGCATACATGATAAATTGCACTTAAGGCATGCTAAACTGGACGCTCGGAAAGTACGATCCACACACAGGACAATCGCTCGTACCGCAGACATTCCAATCTGATCCGATGAGAAACTTCCCATCAGATGGGATGTTCAGAACATGACGGGGGTCCCCTCCACACATGCTGCAATCACTCATCAAGCTGTGCAAGAACTGGGACAGAAACCTCCGCCTCTCTGCTGAGATGTGCAGAGGAGACCATTCTAGAGACTCAGAGAGGAGGAGGAGGAGGAAATAGAAGGGGGAGGGGCACAAAGAGTCTC